GGTCTGGATAGTGGATGTTATGGAGTTGGTAGGTTTGTAGTATTATGTATCTGGTTTTGTTTAATTTATCATTGTGTATAATGTTATTATTTTTGTCGTGGTCGTGTACTTTTTGTGGCTTTCTTTAATCCTTGTGGATAAAGTGATAATGATATTGGAGGTATTTGAATGTTTTTTTTATGCCTGTTTCTTGTGGTAGATATTGAGGGCTGCAAATATTAATGTTCTTAAGTAGAAACTTATAATTGTACTAGATTTAATTGAATAGGATTGGTTTGAGTAGAAATTGACAAGGTTGTTTTTGTTGGTAGTTTTTCTGTAAAATGTCAAAATTGAGTTCACAATCATTTCTGTGTAGTAGATGTAAGGTTCAAAAATAGTCTATTGTAGTTCAACGCTGTTGAGTTGGTTGACAAGATCTGTTAAAATAGTATTTTCTTGATACATTGTAAGGTAGTCGTCTATGCATCACAAATAAGTTTGATAGTATAATGTATTTGAAAGGACCACTTTCTCGAAATTCTGAACATAGACAAGCAAGAACGCAGCTGAAAAGATATCCCATCAGTAAGCCAACTTTTTGTCTATAGAATAGTTACCGAAAGTGCAGAAACTTTGATGATTTTATGTGTGAACATACGTAATTTTATTTCTGTTTTCTTATATCCGTTTTTAATAGATTTAGGCATTTCTCTATAGGGATATTTGTCTATAGCAATTTTATGTGTAAACTGGTCATATATTTGTTTTTGATTACTAAGTATTCTAACAGAGGATGTAAAGTTCGAAACTGAGATCCAAGGACGTATTGGGATGGTCAAAAACGCATTCCAAAAGATAAATGGATTATTAAGAGACAGGAAAATTTGATTAGAAACAAAGTAAAACGCATTGAACTATTACGTGATATCGATCCTCCTGTATGACTGCAAATACTGGACAATCTGCTCAAAGATGAAGGAGAGACGCAAAGCAACAAAAATATGGTTCTGCAGAAGTATGCTGAGGATACAATGGATGGAACATGTGAGCAACGGCGAAATTTTAGAGAAAATAGAAACACAATTCAGACATACTTAATATCAGAAATTTCTGGGACACATAATGAGGAAGGAGGGGTTGGTAAATCTGATACTCACAAGACAAATTGAGGGAAAATGTCACAGAAGAAAGCAGCGCGTAACATTTGAGTAAATGGATCGTAGAAAAGGGTTTGAAAGAAATAATAAAAAGAAAATGTTTAAGAGAACCAAAGAAAATGAGAAGGGCCTGATTGCGTGCGTCATGCAGAGACACGGCTCATAAAAGAAGAAGAAGGGAATTTTACCAACTACTCGTCAGTGAGGGCGAGGGAAATAGTGAGCGTGGATAATTTCCTATTTGCTTGCTAGCGGCTTTGTGCCGCGTTTTTTCTTAAGAGGCAAACATTCTCAATATCAAATTTAGGTGGGTGAAACTCGGTTTTGACAAGGATATATCCTTCTTGCTACTAGTTAATTTTTAATTCACTGTCGGATGGAATATTTACAAAGTACTATATATTTCTAGTAAACCAAAAAAAAAAAACTTAATATACACGCAGTTTATTAGATGTTTTCCTTGTTTCACATATTCTTATACTTAACTTGCTCTCTGTTACAACATAAACATAAAATAAAAATAATTTTCTGTTTAAAAATTTAATAACAAATCTTGAATTTATATCCAACAGGAAAAAATATTTAAATGTTTTTGAAATATCTGATTTAAGAAAAAACATGTGGAAAAATAAACACCATGCTTTTACAAATATGGAAATTAAAGTGAAAAAAAAAAAAACAAATCTTAATTCAGTTTTAAATAATTTTAATATCAGAAGTTTTTTTTTTTTAATGAGATTAGTGATTAATCAATTTACTTTATTTGGATGTGTTGAGATTTGATATGGATTTCTCTCAAGAAAGTTTAAAACTTAAATGAAGCATGGAAAAGGTAAATGAAATGCATTGTTTTTTTCATTCGTTTCTGCAAATTTTATATAATTCTGATATAACTAAAGATAAAGGATGATTCATCAATACTTAAAAGGCAGTGCATAAATCAAATTATTCTTTCTGTAAACCATCCACTCAATGGCACACACACACATTCACTTCTTCACGCACATAGACAATTACAAAATGAGTTTTATTCACTCATTAAATCAGGTTTCTTTAACCCAATCACTCCCTCGCACATTCTCTAAATTAGGTATCTTTAACTTACATATTCACCCATTAAATCACACTAACATTAACTTACGTATTCATGGAATTAATTTTCATTGACACAGTCAATCGTATACTTACTCATTCATAAAGTTACACTTTCTGTTACTCGCTCATTCACCCACTGAATCAATCTTTCTTTAAATCACAAACTCATCCATTGAACCAATCTTTCTTTTAATCACAAATTCACCCATTGAATCAATCTTTCTTTTAATCACAAATTCACCCATTGAATCAATCTTTCTTTTAAT